GCATCAAGCTTTGCACGAATTATGGAGGGTGGTTACGCTCGACGGCTTTTGCAAGTAATCTAAATTTTCCCTATAGACCAACTAAGCATGTATAACTTTGTACTACATTTCTTGCATTCCTATGTAAAACGATCTCTCCTGCGATAGGATAAGCTGTTCAATGATGTACTCTTTGGGTTTACAAGTAGCTTACTCTCGCTAGCATAAACCTTAGAAATTGTTTAACAAAACCCTTGATCTTGTTTGTAGGTGGGAATTAGATCAATTACAAAAGAAGGTCGTGAACAAGGAAAAAGGTTTGGCGTGGAGCAATACGAAATGCGAACTTTTTCCAGAGACCGCCAATTTTTGGAGAATCTGGTCTGTCTTTCTTTACCATCTCTTTCCTTTCCCTTCCACTCTTCTTTCTTCTCCCCAAATTATATACTTGCAAACGTGTTCATCAGTTCAGGAGTTTCAAATGTGCTGAGTCTATTCCAGATGCATACTACTCTCATATTTCTCTCTGATTCTCTGTATATCCTACTATAAGTTATCCCCTTTGGTTTCATATTTTGCGTTATGTTATCAAATGTAAACACTGCCAGACCTCGAATGCCTATACACTGGCATTTCATCATTTATTTGCTACATTGATAATCTCAATTGGTAAATACTTTTGTACATTTCAGAAACTTGGTGAAGGTGCGAAGGGCGTGTATATTTCTGTGGATATCGACTGTATGGATCCAGCATTTGCTCCCGGAGTATCTCATATAGAACCAGGCGGTCTCTCTTTCCGTGATGTTCTAAACATACTGCATAACCTTCAAGCGGATGTTGTTGGTGCTGATGTTGTTGAGTTCAACCCACAGCGTGATACTGTTGATGGCATGACTGCAATGGTTGCTGCGAAGCTGGTAAGAGAACTTACTGCCAAGATATCCAAGTGATCTGCACAGGTTATTCTAAATTTATGAAGGACGCAATACTGTGCATCCTATATAGACCGCTTGCGTTAGATTTATACTCACTTTTATTGGGAAGTTTAATAGAGGATAAGCACCAAAGAAAGTGTTTATTCACCTTATTGTAGCACTGAAACCGTATTAGAACTTAAAATGGAAGTATCAGGTAGGCCTAGTAGATGCTCAGTTTTCCATTGCAAGATCAAATTAGACAATGAGAATTATTTCATGTTATTGATTGGGATATCTGTAAGCTCACCTCCCAAAATAAGCTTTCTTCGCTGCTCCTACTTATATCTGGTAAGTAATGCAAATCTTGTTGTGTACGGATGTTATTTAATCTTTTGTGGTGTAGAACAAAGCGTTTACCAATGGGGCGAGGCATAGCCCGGAACCATGACTTTTTAGACTGATAATTCTAAAAATAAAAATTGAAATAAAAACAGATTAATTTTTTTTTTTAAAAAAATAGAGAAAATGCATTAAACATTATATAATTCAAAAGCAATATACTGTACAAGAATTGATTTTATCCGGGCATAAATTGTATATATGAAGGGGAGCCTTGGCGTAACTGGTAAAGTTGTTTCCATATGACCAGGAGGTCACAGATTCGAGTCGTGGAAATAGCCTCTTGCAGAAATGCAAGGTAAGGCCGTGTACAACAGACCCTTGTGGTCCGGCCCTTCCCTGGACCCCACGCATAGCGGGAGTTTACTGCAGCGGGTTGCCCTTTTTATAAAATTTTATATACATCCTAATATTTTAAGCCACCCAGTTTAATAATTTTAGGAGAAAATTATTTTTAGATGTAAAGAAACTTCAAACACAATGTTTGGGGGCTACAGGTCCAAATAATTTAAGATGTAAAGTGTGCACGAGGCAGATAGAGGCTGCATTGCTCCTAGGGAGTCCCAGTTTTCCTTCTTTAAAACATTTTCTTTTGTGGAGATTTGTTTAACTGGTTGACACAGTAATATGTGTTATAGCTTAGTCTGAATATTGTCCAAATCTGCATGCTCTTCAGTTTACTCTGTAACCACAAGCAAACATTTATGAAGGAAAACTGCAGTCCCTAAAATAGCTTTTTGAAAGTCATTAACGTGACATAGGTATGACAATGATACAAAACTATTGCTAAAGACCTGCAACTGGAAGTCAGTAGAATGAGTGCCTGTTCTAATGTTCAAAAGATTTTAAGCCTTGTTACCGTGAGTTGAGAGTGGACTCTACCGAAACATGAAAACATGACTGTTCTATCATTAACATGATCCTATATATGAAGCATTACAACAAAACCAAGATTGCAAGGAGGTTTTTGTCAATACCAAGATTGTCACAAAACACAACACATTCAGTATCTAATTAAGCATGCTTTCTTTTGGTTTCTATTTAATTTTCTTCTTTCCTCTTGAGTAAGGCTCCACAATGCTCTACTTCATTTTGTGTTTCTTCCTAAACAATAGAACAATTGTTGTGGAGTTGTTACAATTTTGATTAGTTCAAGCTGTAGCTTCCATCTCTTGTCCTATCTCTCTTTTTTCTAGTGCTATAGACTTATACCTTTTAGCGCACACAACAAATAGTACAAGATCTAGTGCAGTCAAAGCAGCTGAAAGGAAGAAAAACCTATCCAAGTGCCCGTTGTTTAAATTCGCAGGTATCCAACCTGGCTTTCCATGCCTTGTTGTGATCTTCATCACCACACTAAATATAATGCTGCACAAGTAGCTACCTAGTGCTGAGGAAGACATGGACAACCCAAGCCCCATGCTCTTCAGATTATCGGGAATTTGTGATGCAAAAAATTCCCACTGAGCAACATAGATGAATGCTTCCCCTACTCCGACAAGCACATATTGTGGAGTTTGCCAGAAAATACTCAAGGAACTTGTCTCTTCCCCTCCTTCATTAGCAAACCTTAGTCTGTGTTGCTCAACCAAACCTGCAATCACCATAGCTACTGTTGAAATGACAAGTCCAATCCCTATCCTTTGAAGCTCACTCGGGAGCTTTGGCTTACTTTTGGTTAGTTTCACATACAGAGGAATTATGATCTTCTCATAGCAAATGATGAAGGTGGATGTGCTTATGATGTCAAATGATGTCATGCTTGCTGGTGGAATGTGAAACCCCGAGATCATTGTGCTTGTGTTCATTGCAGATCCTTGCTCGACGAAGAGAGAAAGCACTTGCACAAAGACAATGGATGCCAATATTGTGCAAAACCATATTGGAAGTAGTCTTAGCACACATTTCACTTCTTCAACTTGTGTCACAGTACATAGCCTCCATTGGTTATGAGTTTCACTTTTATCAGGTAATATAAGCATGTCTGATGGGGTTACAACTGCAGCTCGATCAAGAAACCTATTCGTACAAGTTAAAGGAACGTGTCATATGTTCGAGTTGATGAAATTAATCAGCATTATAAGATCCTAAAACAGGGCAAGCTAAGCTTACTTGAAGTCATCTGTATGAGAGATTCTTCTGGTGCTGTCTTTTTCATTTCTGCTTCGTGCTTCATACAACCCCTCTCCATGTGAAGGAACAGTAAGCTTTATTTTCCTAATAGAAGCGATGATTACCTGAGAGAACCTGGAGATGGGGTTGCAACAAGGTCTAATATGGCGGTACCTAGGGGCGCCACTAATGATTGAGAGCAAAGCAACAAAGCCACAAGCTGTAGATATCCAAAAGGCAAGTACCCATCTTCCCATGTCTTCCATATAAACCAGAAGTGTCTCTGCAACCAATGATCCAAGATTTAGAGCAACATAGAAGTAGCTAAAGAATTTCGTCTTGGAACGACTTTCTTCTGGATCCTCTTCATCAAATTGATCAGCTCCAAGTGTGGCAAGTGCTGGTTCTATAGAGCCACTCCCAAGAGCTAGTAAGTATATCGATAAATAGAACATGGCAACCTCGACTTGTGATTGTGGTTTACAAAGCTCTCCCAACTTGCCACAACCTTCAGGTTCAAGCATAAATGCTTGAGTTAACAGAGACAATACCACCAAACCCTGCAAAGAGCAAATTGGGATCGGCTATATGAATCCTCACGATTTAGAAACGTCAATTATCTTGAAAATAGATTGTGGGGCCTAAGGGGGTGTGCCGAAAAAAATATAACTTACAACATTCATAACAGCTAGAAAAACAATGCAAGTGAGGTATCTTCCAAAGTAGGAATCACTTAGAAAAGCTCCAAGCAAAGAGAAAATATAAAGAGTTCCCATCCATTTGCTGAACATGTTTGCTGCTTCAGCATTTGACTGCCTTAAGACAGTCTTTGAGAAAAGAACCATGTTCACTTCCACTCCAGTAAATGCAACTGCAGCCAATCCTTCACTGACTGCATCAAGCAAAGAACACAACGCTACCATATTATCATAAAGAAGTTTAATTCAGATATTTTCAGCTTAATTATATATTAAGCACTTTGTAAATGTATGTTATAAACTTGGAAAATATGAGTTCTTCCTGTTTTTTCTACTTCTTAGTTCTCTTTGTATATTTTGACATCGTCAAACCAACTCCTCATTTTCTTTCTTCTTGTAGATGTATGTTTTCAACGCAAGGGTGAATCGCTTTCTCTGCCCTTCTCTAAAGAGTTTAAGTTTTATGCACTGATAATATGTAATATTTTTATACATCAGATTAAGTTTAATGAATGGAATAACATGTGATTGTTTACGACAAATATGATATGATAACTTGATAAATAAAGTAAATAACCTGGTATAACATGTTAAATTACACTACTGATATTGTAAAAATTCTTTGTATTTTCTGTGTATATAACTTAAGCCTTTCTAGAACAATGGCCATGCATGCTGTTCGATCTTTTCTTGAATGGAACAGATTTTTATTTTAATCTCAACTGTCTTAAAGTTTCTTTCCCTATTTTTATGGTTAAACCACTCTCTTCAAATGGCTTGATCTAATTAGTCGTTAATTACTTTATCTCTTCTTTTTATATATACAAAAATATGACTTTTATTCTTTGTGTCCTGAGTATTGAAATTATCATAATCATAAGTGGTTAAATGGAAAATGTTGTGGCAGGGGGGAACTATGGTAGTAAGAGTATAATTAGTAGACCTAATAAAAGAGCTCCAGTTTTCCATCCACCAGTTTTTGCCTTGATTGCTGGTTTCCCATGCCTGTCTGTTGATCCATCTTTTGTACAACAATCCAAAAGTCTCTTTTTCCCTTCCTGTTGGCCATACATAAAAAGATATCACATTTCAAATATTATATCCTTTCATGAAATATCATGAGGTTTCATATTATATAGTAATATATAGCATGCTTCCTTTTTTTCTCTCCCACCCCACTTAAAAAAAAAAAACGAAGACAAACAAAATGTTGTATAAGATTTTCTTTTGGTACTTCGATTAACTTTGACTTACCTATAATAATTGTTTTGATAAGAATAAATTAGAATATCGTGTGGGACCATATAGAGGGGATAATTCAGCTTTCTCATTGGTTCAAATTCTAGTAAAAAGTTTTTGAAAAGTTGAGTCAAAAAGAGGAGTAACTTTTTTAGGATTATGTCAGATTTGGATGTAGACACAATAAATCTGAGGTGATCATGAAATCCAAATAAAAGTTGACAAAGTACATAATGCAAAGGTGGCTATTAGCATTTAGTTTTTTTTCCAAAAGAAAATTTAGTTATGAGCGGAATCAAAATGCAAATCTTTACTCTAGATTATATGTCTTTTTCTGTTTCAACAAATAGTTTGTGTTCAAAATGGATAATCAATTTGACTGAGAAAAATGCTAATCTGGTATTAAATTCAGCTGGCTATCTAAGCTCACATTTCTTGGAAGTGTACCTAGAACCTTGGACATAGAGGTGCAAGGTCCATTTTCCACCAAATCATACTCTTTCCCTACCCACAACCTCCTATGTTAAAAAAAAAAAAAAAAATACTCCCTCCGGTCCACAATAAGTGACCAATATGTCTTGGACACACCCATTAAGGAAATAATACTAAATTCTAGTTAGTGTGACTAAATTACCCTTAGTTAAATGTTGCAACGTAGTTAATGTGAGGAGTAAAAGACTTTTTAGGGATATGTACATAAGGGTAATTTTGAAAAAACAAATTGAATTTTTTCTTGGTTATATAAATGTACACTTATCTTAGACCAAAATAAAAAGATAAATTAGTCACTTATTATGGACCGGAGCGAGTATAGTATAATTTATATTTTGTTGATCGAAACAAAAAATGGAAAGAATGATAAAATGCCATTACCTATAAATAACAAAAAGTATTTAAGGTGATTTACGTCCTAAATAATTGGGAGGACCAGAATTTTATGGATTTGAGATTGAAGATAAGGACTACCGAGAAAATAGCAAATAAAACAAAATAATTAGTAGTTGTTAATTAGAAGCTAACAAAGCGAACATAATACCACACAAAGCGTATGCATGATGAAAAGATTAGGTGAAATTGCCATTCGGTGTGTTCTCCAGCAAAAAACTACTGTACAACTCTATTTGTATCTATTAAGTAGCTGTAAAAATCAGTACTTTTAAAAAATATTTGTAGTTCAGACTTTCTTTTATTTAAAAAGTGAAAGAGAAACAATGAACTTATAATCAATGTGATCACTTGAGAGATTGAGTAAAAACTAAAAGTAGGTGGAATCCATTATTACCTTTTTGAAGGTTTTCATTTGCATGATGCACGAGAAGAAAGCATGCATTAATACAAATGGCGAGTTTTTGTTTAAGGAAAAGTTAAAGTCACTTTTTAGTGAAGTTAAGCATGCTTTTAATTTTCTTTTCTTCGTTTATTTGATTAATTAGGCAGCTTAGATACATATATAAATTAATTAATGGCTGTATCCTTTTTGGTCAGATAAACAAGTGACAATACAATGATGGACGATGATTACCATTTTTCATGTTAAACAATCAGATATTATAATTATCACACAAAGCATTAATTCAGCTCCCAGCTGGCTCTATCATAGCCAAACCTTTCGGCTGTTTTCTTTGTTCTGTTCTTTTTTTCATATCAAATCAACTACAACGGTGTATATACAGAAATCTTATGTTTGTTAAATGATGATTCATAATTTAGACGGTGTGAATTTTGAGCCGAAAGAATGAATTCTGAAATGTATATCTAACTCGTTCTATACGTGTGTACTTTTTCGGACAGATGATACACATAGAGTTGGATCTCAAATGCTGTTTGCTAAAGAACCAGAATAGGACAAGAAAAGCCAAAGGAATCCTATACAACAAAGTCCAAAAATACAAACAAGACCATATATATATAGCTAAACAATCAAATAATTAACCAAAAATGATGTGAAAATGTACCTCGGATTCATTCATGGAAACTGAGGATTCATCTCTGACAGCAGACTGCTGTTTTGGGTCCATGGCTCCAAGAAGGAAAATAAAAGAAGGAAGGCAGAATGTAATGAAGAGAAAATGAGCACTAAAACCAGCAATTTATAGTGAAAATGCAGAGTCTTTATTATGTGGGTTTTGAGGGTAAGAGTTAGGGGAATATATATTTTCTCTTACGTGGGAACCATGCAATGACTATGTATGTGTCTATTTCAGTAAAAGTGCAAAAACCTGCGAGTAAACATGAAAGTCTGGGAATTTGAAGTGAGGTTTTTATAGGCAAAATAAATGACATAGAATTGACATTAGAAAAGTGAAAGCAGCCTATGGCCGACAAGTTTGGAATATAGCTAACACAAAACAGTCAAAATGAATTGAAGTAAATTTCTTGGGTCAGCAAATCCCTTCTAAGGAGCCTTTTTGTAGATTGTTTTTGGTCCCTACACATCTTTCATCATTTATTACATCAGTTTTAGATATATATGTATTGATCATCTTTTTCCAAAACTAGGGATGGCAATGGAGCGGACGGGTCTTGTTTGATGCGGGGCGGCCGGGTGGGGGTTACTCTTATACGGTGCGGGTTTAATGCGGGGGCAGCTTTGAATTTTATCTTTTCTAAAATAAAGCAATCATTTCAACTACAGTTTCACATTCTTTTTTTACTAGCACGAATGCTATTTTGATTATAATTAATAAATTTGCATAAGTCTCAACAAAATGATATTACTTAAATCAAGATATCGTATTAATAATAGGAAATGATAGTAACCCATTTATTTTGGAAGATCGGCGTAATACTCTCTCAGTTTTATGTTTATGTGATTCTATTAAACTCTCCATTTTATAAAATAATAAAATGTCAAACTAGTTTGTTTTAGAAAAAAAATTAAAGAAAAAAGAAAAAAAACTTAAGTGGGGCGGGGCAGGTCCAGGCGGGGACGGGTTGAAATTTTTGTCGCTTTTGCCAAACCCGCCCCGCATCCCTGTCCAAAACAAAACAGTACTTAAGATTTCCTAAATTCAAGAAATATTTCATTTGTTTTACCGCAACAATATTGTCAGTATTAAGAAATGAGAGCAAAATAGAACAATATAGTAATAGAGACAAGATGTATAGGAGGAAAATGTAGAAGTTATCTTATTCAAGTGTGTTTCTTGTGTATTCTTCCATAGACAAAGAATGTCCTATTTATACTATACAAGATACAACCAAAACTCACTAGATACATCCTAGGAATTAATAGGTGCATCGATCCAAGTAGTACATTGTATAGAATATATGGATGGATTAAATGAACATCCATATACATTCACTTTATTTATAAAACTCCCCCTTGGATGTTCATTTGAAAGGTAATGTGCCTCGTTAAAACCTTACTAGAAAAAAACCCAGAGGAAAAAAGCCCAGTGAAGGAAAAAGAGTACACACATCTTGTAATACGCATTGTGTGCTGCCTCATTAAAAATCTTACCAGGAAAACTCACTTGGGACAAAACCTTGGTTAAGGGAAAAAGAGTACAACGCGTATTATACTCCCCCTGATGAAAGCTTTATTTGATATCTCGGAGACAACGCATTCCAATCTTATGTCTCAGCTTCTCAAATGTTGATGTTGGCAATACCTTAGTGAATAATTCTGATTGTCACTTGAACGGATTTGTTGAACATCTATCTCACCATTTTACTGAAGATCGTGTGTGAAAAAGAACTTTGGTGAAATGTGCTTTGTCCTGTCTCCTTTGATATATCCTCCTTTAAGTTGAGCTATGCAAGCAGCAGTGTCTTCATACAATATCGTTGGAATCTTCATTTTTAAAGAAAGACCACACAATTGTTGAATATGTTGAGTCACTGATCTCAACCATACACATTCTCGACTAGCTTCATGAATAGCTATTATCTCTGCATAATTGGAAGATGTAGAAGCTAAAGTTTATTTTGTTGAACACCATGAAATAGTTGTACCCCCACAAGTAAATAGATAGCCTGTTTGAGATCGGGCTTTATATGGGTCAGACAAATAACCTACATCTGCATAACCAATCAACTGTGAATCAGATTCATAAGAATAAAATAAGCTCATATCAATAGTACCTCTAAGGTATCTAAAAATATGCTTAACACCATTCCAGTGTCTTGTTGTTGGAAAGGAACTAAATCTTGCTAATAAACTGTAATGACCCAAAAATGTCATCTTTAATTTAAATATTTATTTCTGTGTTTAATGAAAATGTCGAGAACTTACCTGATATGAGTTTAGTATCACCTGAATAGTTAATGTGAATATCGTTCCTTTTCTAGTAATATATTACTTATGAGGCTAATGTTGGTGTTATTTTCATGATGGGTTACGTAGATTGGATTATGTATATGTTGTTAGGATTGGTTTCTCGGATTCTCTGAAAGGTGGATAGGCCCAGTTATAAAGGAAACTCCGGCGAAATTTTTGGAAATTTTGGGAGTTAGTAAAAATTCGAGAAAATTGAAATATGCGAAAGAAGAGGTAAGTATGTTATGCGTTTGGGGGCGGACTCTACTTCTCATCCGACGACCTATTAACATGATAGATACCAATTGGATATGATACCAAGTGTACGAAATATACTATAAGTGATATGAGGTCTAAGGAAGGTTCTAAGTCTAAGCCAAGTTGGAAAATTACATAATAGACTAAAGTTGCAAATGAGTACGCGCAAGACCTCACTTTGGATGAGCATATCTATATAGATATAACGATTTGTGTGATGATCAACCTATAAAATTAAAACTCTTTGAGTCTAGTTTCTACAACATCAAACTGTTCGTCATTTGGAGGTGTATACAAAAAGTTATGACTATTTTACCGGACCTGTATCATAAGCGCGCCCAGGCGCGCGGGCACGCCGCGACCATGCCGATTTAAAAGTTTTCCGCCTGTGAGCGCGGCGGGAGCACGGCAAAGCATGTAAAATCCCTATAATACCAAGTGTTCTATATCCGGATGTGATTATATTTCATGAATTTATATCAATATTCATCGTTTATTTCGGATTTGGATGAAAGAAATTGTGGTTTTTGTAAAACTTTCCAAAAATGAAAATTTAGGATTTGAAGGTCCATTTGACATCGGAATTCGATAATTTTTGTATAGTTGAACTCGTCGTATTTTATGAGTTTCATCGGCTTCCGAGACGTGGGCCCCACAAATAATTTTTGAGCTAAATTTCGGATTTTAATCCGGAAATTTGTAAATTCATATAGAATTAGTTCCTACCATTCGTGTTGAGTATTTTGAATTGTTTATGACTAGATTTGAGAATTTCGGGCACGAATTCGCGAGACAAAGGCTTGTTGGAATTTTGAATTGGTTGCAAAGCGAGGTAAGTGTTTGGTCTAACCTTAGCTTGAGGGATTAAGAGTCGAGTTCTATTTGCTATGTGGTATTTGTCGAGTATGATGTATATGCATGCTGACGAGTATCTATATGTTGGTGTCAAGCATGCCCGTGAGTCTTATATTGTGATTATTATGACTTCGTTGTATTGTTCATGCTTTGATGATGATTTCTATTGTTGGGCAAAGTTTGTGGAAGTAATTGAGACATTTGAACATTGAGGAGCGTTGGCTCAAGTTGTACAATGAAATGAGAAAGTATAAGTTGTAATTTAATCTTTTAGAGCATTGGCTCAAGTTGTGAAGTAAAAGTGAGAAAGGGAAGAGAATCATTATATCATCTCCCTTGCCTGGATATTGTTGCTTTTGATGTTATCTCCCTTGCCGGAATGTTGATGTTTCTTTTGATGTTGTTCCCTTGCCGGGACTTGATTGTTGAACTATTGTTCCCTTGCCGGGATTCTTATTGTAATTTTATTTATTCCCTTGCCCTATTATTTGTGATTGTTGTTTGGGTGAAGAAGAATGTTAAAGCACGAAGGGTGATGTTGTGTATTATTTTAGTGAGAGAGTGTTAAAACACGAAGGGTGATGCCGTGTATGATTTGTGAGGAAAGAGTGTAAAGCACGAAGGGTGATTCCGTGCTGCACGATGTATCATTCTGTGCCGATTATATTGATTATATGGTGAGGACGAGAGTAAAAGCACGAAGGGTGATGCCGTGTATGATTTGTGAGGAAAGAGTGTAAAGCACGAAGGGTGATTCCGTGCTGCACGATGTATCATTCTGTGCCGATTATATTGATTATATGGTGAGGACGAGAGTAAAAGCACGAAGGGTGATGTCGTGCACATTTTCATTATTTGATTGATTTGGTGAGGAAGAGAGTAAAAGCACGAAGGGTGATGCCGTGCACTTATTGATTCCTAATTCTTTATTGATGTCTGAGATATGTTGTTTCTTTCAATTACTTGTTGTCTTTCTATTCTAAGTTGTTAGTTCCCCCGCAGCATGTTACCCCTCCCATACTTGACTGTATATTACTGTTCTTCTTTTTCCGCTGTATATAGTTAAATTGCACAAGTTTATTTGGTAGTCTGATCCTAGCCTCGTCACTACTTCACCGAGGTTAAGCTAGGCACTTACCAGCACATGGGGTCAGTTGTGCTGATACTACAATGTGCACTGTGTGCAGATCCCGAAGCAGCAGCTTTTGGACCGTAAATTGGGTGGCTGCCTTCAGTCCATGCGGAGATCCAAGGTAGTCTTGCAGGCGTCCGCAGGCCCTGGCGTCTCCCTCTATCCCTTTACTCATGTTTCATTTGTTCAGTTCAGAAACAGTGTATCTTTTATCTTTCAGACTTTGTATGTAGTATTCTTAGATCGTCTGTGAAACTGTGACACAGTTCTGGGTGGTCGAGGCTCAAACAGTTGTACTGCATTTCTTCCGCTTATTGAAATTTTCGTTTTCTACACATTATTGCTTTATAATTGTTAAGGAATATAATTTGGTAAAAATGTAATTTGCTCAAACAGTCGGCTTGCCTAGCTCACATTAGTAGGCGTTATTACGACTCCCGAGGGTGGAAAATTCGGGTCGTGACATAAACTTACTACAAAAGTTATATCTGGTCGAGTATTATTTACAAGATACATTAGTGCCCCAATTACACTAAGATATGGAGTTTCATTACCAAGAAGTTCTCCATTATTTTCATGAGGTCAGAATGGATCTTTATTTATATTAAGTGATCTCAAAACCATCGGGGTACTCAATGGATGTGCGTTATCCATATAAAAATGCTTTAGGATCTTTTTGGTATAAGTTGATTGATGGACAAAAATTCCATCTTTCATATGATCAATTTGTAG